GAAAAAAAATTTTAGGGTTAAATTATTAATTTATAGATATTATTAATTTATAGACGATTATTAATTTATCGAATATTAATTTATAGAGGTTTTACTGTATTTGTATCATACGAGAAATCCATTCGTGTACTTTTGGCAGTTTCCGCTTGTTGAAATTCAGTGACATCAAACTGAGTATACATATCTCGTTCATCTTCATCTGAGTAAAATTTGTTTCTCACATTAAATATTTATCATCTTAGTCAATCAAGACTTTACAATAAAAAAAAAAAAAAAATATCAATCAATCAGAGTCTGCCACGTAGGCGTCTCTTAACCCACCAATGGTATCTTCTCCAACATACTCCAACATAGGTATCTTAATATTTATTATATTTTTTGATTAAAATTTAAATACTATTAATACTAAGATACCCCTTAAATCCTGCTGATAATGCATAATTGTAGTATGATGGTGTGAACATATTGTAAACATAAAATCTGATTAGAAAACAAAAACGTTACAATTGAGAAAGTACGTGATTTGGATAGATAAACTAAAATTTGAGAAATTTGCTAATCAGGTTAATAAAACAAACAACTCCCTTGCATGGAAGCTACGATCATCAAAGGAGAAGTAGGTGGCTATAGCCACCGACTGAAGTTTTTTCTTTCTCATTTTTTTGTCGTCAGTATAGTTCAGAAGACACGAGAAAGATAAAGATTGATTTATTCTCTTTGTTACAAGATATTTGTTTGGCACGCTTACTATAATTAACGTAGGCTATTACAACTTGGAATTAAATAATCACATCTCGTGCTATTTTTGTTACGAAAAGAGAAAGTACTATCATTTCAAACTTATTTTTATTTTATGTTCACTTCTTAGTGAGTTGTATACTTTTCTTACCAAACAATTGAATTGTTAAAACAATGTGGAATCTTGTTCCTCTATTATGGACGGATCCAAAGATAACATATTGTAAATTAGTTGTGGCCAAGGTTTAGCTAAACCTATATTATCGAAAAAGCAACCTCATAAATGATAAAGTTTGACAAAAACAATGATCAAGTTAATTTGACAGAAAGATTAACATGTTTGTATACTTTCTTCCCAAAAGAAACTAAAGTTACTGATAATTCAAAAGGACCAAATCGTAAAACGTTCAAGTATGTATGGTTGGTATGAATTAGAGTACTAAAATGATTTGACGTTTCTGCAAAGTTAAAACTTTAATTCCACAACTTTTTATGAAGAAACATTAAAACACCTCATCGTACAACATATTTTCAGACAAGTTAAAACTAAATTTATCATTTCAGTCACTAAAACCTATTTTTATATTTGTGTGTACGCATTTTACAATGATACGTTAGTATAGCTAGATAATCAAATAAATATATATTGCTATTTATCCAGATCGATCGTATACTACACACTATCCCTAGCCTTTCTTTTGCATATACAATGACTCCACAAAGCACCAGTAGATAAGAATCTTCGAGCCTTTCTCAATTTCCCTTACTTGTACGAACCTTATAAACAATTTATTCACGTTAATCAAGAAGCAAAAGAAATTAACCAATAGAATTGCGCAATTAGAGATACAAATGGAAAGCATCAAAGTTTTTTCTATCTCAAAAGCAGGAGAGCAGCTAGGCTCCCACCAATTATGTTGCACACAATCATATACAACTTCCACAAACTCCTTTAACAAGAAAGAAAAATTAATTTTATATTTACCAACTTTATTCTGAATGACACAATTATATGATCATACGACTCTATGATACTTATCTATCGTTTTCATTATTTTATTTTATTTTTTAAATGAAATATTTGTTTTAGTTTATTACGCCTATAAATAACGACCCTCTATCAACCCTTCAACTCACACATTTAGCATCATCAAGTATCAGAAACTCAAGTTGTCAGTAAAATACAGAGAGTTTACAGAGAGAGAGAGAGAGAGAGAGATGGAGAAGAACATTAAGTTTCCAGTTATAAACTTGTCTAAGCTCAATGGTGAAGAGAGAGACCAAACCATGGCTTTGATCGACGATGCTTGTCAAAACTGGGGCTTCTTTGAGGTTCGTTTTTCTCTTTTATTGTCCTTCTTAGTTAGAACTCCTTTGGTATTGTCGTATATATAAAACTTACTATATAAAACAATATATCAAATCATTTTTCTCTTTTTGGGACGTTATAATTCTAAAGTCTTGTAACTATTTCAGCTGGTGAACCATGGACTACCATATGATCTAATGGACAACGTTGAGAGGATGACAAAGGAACACTACAAGAAACATATGGAACAAAAGTTCAAAGAAATGCTTCGATCCAAAGGTTTAGATACTCTTGAGACCGAAGTCGAAGATGTTGATTGGGAAAGCACTTTCTACCTCCGTCATCTCCCTCAATCTAATCTCTACGACATCCCTGATATGTCAAACGAATACAGGTACACAAAAAATATATAGATTTAGCCTTAAAATCACAGCTCACATGCATGAAAAGAAAAACTAAACCATTCGTTTGTTTTCGATGTTTCTTTAACAGAACGGCGATGAAGGACTTTGGGAAGAGGGTGGAGAATCTAGCAGAAGAGCTGTTGGATTTGTTGTGTGAGAATCTTGGATTGGAGAAAGGGTACTTGAAGAAGGTGTTTCATGGGACAAAGGGTCCAACTTTTGGGACAAAGGTTAGCAACTATCCACCATGTCCTAAACCAGAGATGATCAAAGGGCTTAGGGCTCACACGGATGCAGGAGGCCTCATTTTGCTATTTCAAGATGATAAGGTCAGTGGTCTCCAGCTTCTCAAAGACAATGATTGGCTTGATGTTCCTCCTCTCAAGCATTCCATTGTCATCAACCTTGGTGACCAACTTGAGGTACATAAATTATCATCCGGTTATTTATTGCTCTTTTAATATGGTTTAATCCCGGTTAACCACTTATCTTATTCATAAAATTGTGACTAGGTGATAACAAACGGGAAGTACAAGAGTGTAATGCACCGTGTGATGACACAAAAAGAAGGAAACAGGATGTCTATCGCGTCGTTCTACAACCCAGGAAGCGATGCCGAGATCTCTCCTGCACCATCTCTTGTGGTGGATGACAAAGACTCAAAGTACCCGAGCTTTGTGTTTGACGACTACATGAAACTCTATGCGGGACTCAAGTTTCAGCCCAAGGAACCAAGGTTCGAGGCGATGAAGAATGCTGCAGTAGCCGCGGAGTTAAATCCCGTGGCAGCCGTCGAAACATTCTGAACTGGATGTGGGATACTCTTATGAAGGCTACAAAGATATGAAGATAACAAAAATATGGGTTTGATATGGTGTGGTATTAGTAATTTCAATAAGTGAAAAAGAGTGTTTAAGGATTGATAATGTTAGTAAAATCTAGTGTGTGTTAACTAACCATTAAGCAAGCGTGGGAGTGCTTTTTTTTGTATGCAATAATTGTGTGGTTTAAATATCGAAGATGAATGAAACTAAGAGGGTTACATACAGTAGGCCTATATATATAAATGTTCGGCCCAAAGGCCCAACCCAATAACATTGTCTTCGAGAGTTGTTTTCTAGGGCATCATCACTCACTCTGTATCATACACTATAAATACCTCCCTGCAGACCTAGAGCCTAACTATCACACGATTTCTGTAGGGTTGTGAATGTTGTTAATTAGTTTTTTCTCTAGATTAGATCTGGATTTTAAAAGTCTTATTGGTTTGATTTTGTAAAGAAAGAAACCTCGGGGTTGATAAAAACGGGCAAGAGAGAGTAACGGTGTCTCTGTGTCCTTAAAGAACCGGCGAGGGAAACTAATCTGGCCGAGATATATCGTTTCTGTCGTTCTTTTTTCTGGTTAACGATCTGATTGTTACTCGTCCACATCTGAGTTTTTAAAAACTTGTTTTTCGTTATAATCGTTTTGCTCAAAAATATTGAATGCGAATGAAGAATTTTATTATTTTCTTCACTTTGATCCGATTGGATAATTTTTATTATCTCTGTGGACAAATGATTCAGATTGACTGACGCATTCATCTTTTTGATTGATCGTGTATTATATATTCTTAGGTTCTCGTTTTTTTTATTTATCTTTTTTGTTAGTTTTGAATTGAAATTTCTTAATCGAGATTTGGATTTTCGACAAATCAGTTTTAAGACCATGATGTGAATAAGCAAACTAATAAGAGTTATATACAAAAAAAAAAACAAAATATCCTAAAATTAGTGAAGACTTCAGTCAGTAATTTACAATGAACAAAATGATCAAAACAGTGTTTACTGATGGAATTAGTTTGTAGTTTTGATCTTACAAAAACTAATTTGATTTCCAAGATTGAATTAGTGACTTCATTTGGACAAACTAGTGCAGCTATGGATAAAACCCAGTAAAATGAGAATAATGCAGCGAAATCTTATGTAACAGTAATAATCCAATAAAAATTAAAAGAAAAAAGATTGAATAAAGTAAAGTTTGTAAAATGTTAATCTTGAAGATCATAGTCAATATTTCAAAATGTATATGTAAACCATTGAGGAACTCGGGTGTTGTCTCACAGCTAAATTACAATGGTACACAATTTAGTTGGATCTTTTGATATATTGAAGGCCCTATCAAAATCAGAGATTGGACCCTTGACCGGCCCATCTAGAGATCCTTATTGCAATATTTTGTGTGTGGTTTGGTTTGGGCGACGGAATCAGAAAGAAAAGTCTCTCTACGACGAGTAGTACAGGAGGTGAAACAGAGGATCTCTCATATTCTCTAACGAGTCAATAACTCGTATACCAAAGAATGATTCATTGTCAACAGTAGTTACTTCAATACGTTATAATCTAATAACGTGTTTTACGTATAGTAGAACACTGACCAAGCCTAAAAAAAAAGAAGATGCTATTTGCAGCAGAGCAGGCACACATATGTAAAACGAGTCAAAGACGTTGCGTTGAGATTTTTTAGTACTACCAAACCAAAGTCTTTTTTTACTGCAAATAAAACCTCTCAATCACGTCTCAGTCGTAATGTGACAAAGCTCCTCTGACATTACATATTTTATTTTTACACATGAATAATTAGAAACATCAATATGACGATGACAACTTTTCCTCTGGCATCATCTATTTTTAATCAATGAAAAAGGTACAATAAAAAACATTTCAATAATTCTTGAATACTATCGCATGCGAAATTTTGTTAATAGTACGATTATTAAAGATTACCTGAAATTGTCAGGATATATGAATTTGTAAGGCCATCATTAACGGGATATTCTTTCAGATTTTAAAGTATTAAAATAATAACAAAATAATAAAACAGTAACATAAAATGTAGAAGTCGGGTTTTGGTTAACATCTTTTTGGTTGGGATGTTAGATGATATGGCAAGTACTGAGTGGATCTTCTTTTATTATTCTCCAACATCTCCTATTAACATATTAATTTACTGTTTCTAAGCCATATCCTCTCAGCTCTCCTGATAATGATGCCCTAATATGTGTGCTTTTCATTTGGTCACTGTTTTAGTCACTACAATAGTTTAGTTTCGAACTAAACCATATTTAGTTATAGATGATAGTTCGTTTGGTTCAAACAAAAATACTTGTCATTGAGAAATGTGTGTTTAAAGTGTTTACACCGAGACAAGAGCCATTATGTCTCCTCTTTTCTATTTTCTTTTTGACAAACCCAATGTTGGAAATCCGCATTTCTAGGATTTAGTTCCCTCTATAAAATGTTGAATTACCCCATTTTAGTTTAATGTTTACCCAAGAGACAAGAATGATGATCAGATCATTTTTTCTAATACTACTACTTTTACTTTGTTTAAATATTTTGCAATGGATTTTCTTTCATTTGTATAGGTCAATTTTAGTAAATAAGTCTCTCTGTAAAAAAAAAATACTGCAAATGATAAGTATGTTAAAAATGTTGTTTATTTTTTACCTATTTAGAATTGGATTCGAAAAAACAAAACGAGGAAGAAAAAATATTTGTACGTAGAAGATAAGGCATAGGGGTCCAGTATTATTATTCTCCAAGTTGCATGAAATCCCAAAAAAAAAAAAAAAAAAACATCAGATAAAGGAATACCAAATCAGAACCATGATTACCCAAACAAAATTGATGTTTAACTAAAAATTAAGAATAAATAATGGATATTACATAATAATTAGCTGAAAATATATAAAAAGCTTGGAGAAGAGCTAATGTGACAATAATAATAGAAATATACCGTATGAGTCAAATACTTCAAAAGGTGTTTACTTTAGACCAACCACTTAATCACTTTCCATATAACATGTTGGACGGTCAAATAATTTCTATACTTTTTTTTTGGTCCAGATTTTTTTGTTGGTACAGTAAAACAATAAAAATAAAAACTCTCCCTGAACTTCCTTAACCAAACCGTACATCATATGGGCGTATGATTAATTAGTGTTTCTAGTCAAAGTTGTTAGAGAATTATGTTCTTGTGTAGACGATCTGATTAGAACGTAAAAGTGAGAAGTCTAACTCAAACTCGATCGACACGTCTAACAAAAAGCTCTAAGTGATTATCTTTTTTTTTTCTTGATATTCCATTTCAGTTTGTAGCATATCTGTATTCCAAGGAATGGGAGTTTAGTTTAGTGTTTGGACTTTAAAGGCTTTGGTGAAAGAGATCAAAAGATTGAGTGATCCGGAAAGGGCAAAAATGTACAGACAAATAATGTGACAACAACAATTCATGGGCCTAGCATATGTGAACGGCTGTGGTGGTGGGCAGCACAAAAGATGTCTTTCCACTGGAAATATATATTATTTAGTTACTTTAGTAGTATTACACCATACAAAGTGATCCTAGAACCTAGTAAAGGAATAGATTAATCGATTACACATGTCTAGCTACCAGCAAGTATCTAGGAAGTAACAATTCTACTTTGTATTGTTCTCAATAATATAGTGTATATAATCTTTGACGGTAATAAATAACTGATGCAAAGTTTAAATATTTAATATCGTTTAATTTGTGGTCACACCGTAATAGTTAATGCGCATATCTTTAAACGTAGTATTAAATACGTACAATTTTACCGATGTTATAATACAATGATACTTTGGTCGCATTATAGACACAATTAAATGATTCCACAGGAAAACTTTCGGAGGTAATCTATAATAACATGTTGGCCTATAGATATCATCCAAGTGAATTTTTAATAAATTCACAACAAAGAAAAGAAGAAAAAAAAACATTTTTAGCTTTTTTATTTCATTAAACTTTTTTCTAAGCCTTTTTTTTATCGGCAAAAAATTTCTTATCCCCAAACACCAAAAACTTTCTCACCAATGAAACTCACAAATCTCCTTACGGTTCCCTTATCCTCCTCCTCCGCCTCAAGATAAGCATCTCCGTCACAAAATTCCTCCGTTGGTTCTAAACCTCCGTTGCAACCATCAGCTAACTCACTTGAATTAGAACACGGACAAGAATTCACAACAGACACACCGAGTCGACTCGGAATCTCCGAATCATCCGTACCAAAGCTAGAGCTAGTAGCAAGAAGTGTAGAAGAAGAAGAAGAAGACTTCCCAGAGCGCTTTCTCCGATCTTTCTTACCACTCACGTTCTTCTTTTTGTTGCTGTTCTTCTTCTTCTCCAAGCTATCTTCGAAAGCGTCGATGATTTCGTGAATAAGCTGACGACTCGGTGACGTATCCCATCTGACCCAGTAACTCGTGTAGCAGCTGAAACAGTCACAGTGGAAGAGAGGCGAGTGATGGTCGAAATGGGCTTTCTTGTGGGCTTTTGTCTTATCTAGACGAGAGCTAGGGTTTCGGTCGCCGGAGTAAGTAGCGGTTGATATGAGATAAGCCAGAACTTCACGGTCTTCCGGAGAGAGAACCGCCGCTAGTGAGAAGATAGCGACCGGAAGAAGAGATAAAAGGTTTTCGTCGGATTTTATCTGCGGCGGCGACGGGTGTACGGTTCCTTTCCTGTAGAGCTTCTTCATATTGTAGTTTTCTATGGAAGAGAGAGAATGAAAAAGGAGAGAGAGAGAGAGACTTGTGTAAGAAGATGTTATCGAGACTTTAAATACCGAAAGGTTTATTAGGTTTTGTCTGTTTCGGTATTGTTTTATAGTTATTGTCTTTCGTCTTAAAAATCCACCGTCTTAACGTTTGTTTAGTGGCAAAACTAGGTTTAAGGCTTAAACCATTCGACCATTTTTGATTTTTCATCAAATTGGATAACAAAATTAGCCAAGTAAAAAAATGTTTAAAGTTTTTATTTGTTTCTAGACCAATTAACCAATTTTGACGGCTGGCTTTATAAGACCAATTTACGAACTTAACTCATCTTTATTGGATAGACATTAAGTCATGTTCCGATTAATGCTTATCAAATTTTTTAAGCATTAACTAGAATTTAATTTATGAAATGATCCTAAACTGGATAAAATCGTTAAATAGATGAGAATCAAACGCACCACACTCGAATAATCAGTTCAATGGAAACATTGAATGAGATGTTAATGAGATAAGTTGGTCTCCACTTCTTCCGATATAGTGATATACTAATAACAGTTGTTTCATTATTACAACTCTGAACTGAATCTCATATAAGCTACTTTTCCCGATCAAGCCTTTGATATTTTAGTTTATCACTAAACAAATCGGGAGTAGTCTTTTACTCTTTTGATATGTAATCGTGATTTCGGAATCTGATAGAGCCAGGCCAATAACGGGCCGAAGGTGAAAAGCCCATTAAAAATGTTGCCTAAACAGAATAATATAGACCACTACAACTTAAAATAAGTTGGTAGTAGCCAAACAAACACTTTGTAGATAATTGCTTCTCTAATAAACCCCCAAAACTTACCTATATTTACAAAAATATTGGAAAAAAACACTTAAACATCAACTCATAGAGCCTATACTTTTTACTCTAGAATACAATATCTACAACCCGACTACACTGTCGTTGAAAGCCACCGTAAGCCGTCCAACCTTCAAACCACTCCTCTTACTCTCCCTCTCTTTAAAACCATTAAACGGTGTGGTTTTAACCAATTCTTCAAACCCTATGCGCGGTCCACAGTCACAGCTCTTAACCCTACTCACCACTTCGTTAGAGGTTCGTTTGTAGTGACCGAACCACTTGGCTTGCATATAACCGTTCCTTCTCCATGGCGGCACGAAAATCTCCGCTCGCTTCATTGACCGTCTCATCTCAAAGCACATGATCCTCACAAGCTGTTTCAGCTCCTCAGGTGTTCCCACAAAGACACGCGGCAGTTGAGCTAAGAGGGAGAGGTATCTTGTCGTTGGCCTAGCAATCTCGAACTCTCCGGCGAGATTTGTCTCGACAATGTAACGTTTCTTATCTCCTGCTATCACGTCGACGTACTCATACTTCCCGGCCGTGTTCTTACCAAATTTCTCCCACCGGGACTTGCAGAGACCTATACACATAGAATCATCTTTTCATTTCAGTATATTTGCACATTTAAATCCAAAACATGTACATATCAAAAATGTGAATATTACAAGCTTACAACATCATATAAGATTAAAAAAAATTAACATACGATAATTGTTCTTAAACAATCCAAAGATTTTTTTTGGCACTAAATCTCACTAAATTTCAAATGCTTAAGTGTTAGGATACAACATTTACATCTATATATATCCTAATTAGGGAAAAAATACTTACAGTAACCAGGAACGCTTTATAAGAATGAAATGACAAATCAACCTCAAAGCTAAAATGTGCTACTCTATTGATAAAAGCGGTTTTCCAATCTCAATATCAAATTTACTTCTTAATCATGTTTTGTAATCTCTAAACCAAACATATTCCTTCCAGAGCTTATTTGTTTTAGATAGTTCAAGTACCTATAATTAAAATAGAAAAACTCAAATGACCAAAACTCTATGAGCTTAGCTAGGTAGAAGAGTCAACAACCATATCTCAAACGGATTTGAGATATCAACAAACTTAACCAATCCCTCAAAATCAAACACATACGAATGTAATTTCATGTAAACATAAGAGTCATAGAGATCGTTTTTATTACCTGCATCAAACCCTTTGCCACGTAGATAAGCCACAAGGTGACGTTTCTCTCCGACCACGAAACGACTAGCATTAACCGCCTCATCCACTATCCTCCGCCGCTCTTCGCCTCCGTGATTTTCAAGAATCTCACGAAGCCTCTCCTTCACATCTTCGTAATCCTCATCCGACTTATCATCTCCTTCCTCAGGAACCTCCTCATATCCCGCTTCCACTTCTCTGTCGATAAAAGATTCGACCATATCCCAAAGATCCGCTGTGTCATCCGGAGAGTGATCGCTGCCGCTGCTGCTACCGTACGGAGGACGTGCACGCGCCGCCGCCACGTCGAAAGCCGCCGCTGTTCTTGTAAACCTTCCCCCAATCTCTACCATATTTTATGTCCTTCTCTTGATTTCTCCTCTTATTCGTCGAATTGTAGTGTATATTTATACACTCGAATATTAATTATTAAGTGATGTTTTCATTGTGTTGACAGCGACTTTGACTTTTTTGACGGCGTAAACGACAAATGGTAAAAATATGACAACAGGATGGTGAAATGATGTTGAAATAGAGATTAACGGCGTTTTGTTGGGTAACGGAGAAAATAATTACAGTTTTTGAGATGTGCTAGCTTGATTAACTTTTAGATTCTCAATTGTCACCACTATATTGGCCAAATACATTCGCTCTCAAACGAATAATATTTAAAAAAACACTTAAATATTAATGGTAAGTCTTTTTTTGTTCAACAAAATATTAATGTTAGTCAATTTTAGTAAAGTGAATTGTTCTAGTTTCGGAAAAAAGAGATGGATAGTTCTATAATTGCTACTCGTTACTAAACTCCACTTTCAGAAATATAAGTAAAATATTTTCTTCTCTGTTTATTCACTAAATTCGTTTACATTTTCAGATTCTGACCTATAAATTAGAATAATTTCTACTATTTGACTATTTTTGTTTTACTAAACGGATGCCACTGTGGTGCCACGTGGCGAATCGTGGTTAGACTTAGATCTTTGGTCTTGTACTATTATTTTTTTTTACTTCTGTAGATTTTGCTGATGTATGTTACATCTGACGCGGAGACCAGAAGTAGAGAAAACTCAAAACACGTCCAAGTGCATTGAATTCGAAAAATAGTCTAGGTTCAACGTATCCAAGGTTTCTCTTCGTTCGTTTGGTTTGTCCAAGTTTTAAGATGGTCATGCAATTATTAGTTGAGTATATTAAATTGTCACCGGTGATACTTGATACAGATGGAAACTTATCCATTACACGTGATGGCACTAGTTTTTGGTTTTGATTTATTTTTAGACAAATCTCTAATTTTGTATTCACGTTTAGAGAATAGAGATTGAAGGGAAAAAAAAAACGATTTTGTGGGCTTTTATTGTAAAATACAATATGTTGGGCCGAACTTTGACTCGTGGTGGCTATAATCCTGCTAGCTTTTGTGTCCATTTTTGAGTATACTGTAAATGTGTAACTGTAATGTGCTTGAACGTTGACCAACGATCATATATGGGTTTGGTGATTAGTTCTGAATTTAGTGCCACAAAACTTTTATAATCCTTAATGAACTGATCATATAGTACTAGTCTAATTTGTGTGTGCCTTTTTTGTTTCTTGTCTAGTTTTAGTATAATATAACATGTCCAGATATATTTTACAGTAATCTCTTGCATTAATTGCAAACTTATACACACTTTGTATATGAACAAGGCCTCTGTTGATATAGTTCAACGTGAGGGTCTGAGGCTCTTTAGGCAATGTCATTGCTTCAGGCGAAGTCATTGAACCAACAAAACAGAGAATTGACGAACAAAAAGTTAATATTTGTGAATTGTGGTCAGTGGAGTAAATCACATTCAGACATCACCTTAACCTAAAGACATGGATGAAGGCAATTTTTTCTTCTTCTTTGATCTCTTTCGAAAATATACAAAACCGACATACTAGTTTCTTATCAAATTTACAAAGTCATGAAGGAAGTAGTTTTGAGTATAGACATACTATAAGTTGAGAAACAGTAGAACCAATGTACATTACTCACTGAATAAAGAAATATACATTTTGCAAACATATATGAGAAAGACTAATTAAAATGACCATTTTCTTTGATTATATCTTTACACTTATCAAGTTTGCTTGAGTTTATGAAATGTTGTTTGTTATAGTTAATTATGGAGATTTTCAGGGACAAAAATCATCTTCTCGAGAGTATTTGAGACAACCCTATATAAACCCTTCAATATCACATGATGTACAATTGTCAGATTTGCTTATTTAACTACCCACACATTGCTTAAATGTGAGGTATTTAGCTCAATTTATATATGTCGAATATAACCACATAATGTATCTTTTGATTGTCTTTAAATTTTTCTTTGATCAGGCGAATGCACAACTTTTTCTGTGATTTCGCTTCGGTGAACTTTTACCCAGGGGGTCACCTATTTTTAAGTACCACTTTGAGATTTCTTGGTCATAGGTATATATCTACGTGGCTTTTAAGACACTATAAAGAATGAAATCAAATAGTTTATGATCACCATATATACATGATACTTCAAATTATTCTACAAGCCAAAAAAAAGATATGGACCATGCGGTTTTATGTTAGCAACTCACCTTTAGGAAGACTTGGCATAACTGATGAACAACTCTTATTCATTGGATTGAAAGATCTAAGGAATGGTTATATACACGTTTTGTGACAGACATGCGTCCAAGTTTTGTTCCCATTTGGTCGTGCGTCCAGGTTTGTCTTTCTTTGACCGCTTCTAATTCCATAGATCGTGCAGTGCTGTCATTTTGAGTTATCAACATACATAACTCTATATTTTGAAACATACACCACTCCATCTTTTATATGATTTAACGTTGACGGCTGATTATTATATTATACAACAGCAAAGAATCTTTAGGAACGTGCATCCAAGTCTGAGAAACTCAGTGACGATGGTTAATTTCATCTCCGCGCAAAGGTCAGCTCTTTTGGTCTTCTCTACGTTTCCCTCAACGTGTAAACATGTCACCAATTGACAAATTCAGATTTAAGAAAAAAGTAAGGAAAACTGGAGAGAGAAAGTGATACGACTTTTTGAATTTCTAAACTGTTTTATAAAGATGAAGCACATAGAGATATTAGATGTTCATAATTAGCAAAATTGGGTTTCTTGACCCATAAGCAATGTTGTTCCCTCCTATCCGTTCCTTCTTCTTCCTCTTCCTGTTGTTCTCCTCCCTTTGTTTATCACAGATCAAAGCAGACGACGACGATGAAAGCGGCTTGGGCAGTCATATCAAAGTAGACAAGCGTCTCAAGTTCGAGAACTCGAACCTACGTGAAGCCTACATTGCTCTCCAGTCATGGAAACAAGCAATCTTCTCTGATCCTTTCAACTTCACAGCTAACTGGAATGGCTCTGACGTTTGCTCCTACAATGGAATCTACTGTGCCCCTTCTCCTTCATACCCTAAAACCAGAGTTGTTGCAGGCATTGACCTCAACCACGCTGACATGGCTGGTTACTTGGCTTCCGAGCTTGGTCTCCTTACCGATCTCGCTCTGTTCCATCTTAACTCAAACCGTTTCTGCGGCGAAGTCCCTCTCACGTTTAAGCGTATGAAGCTTCTCTACGAGCTTGATCTTAGCAACAACCGATTCGTCGGTAAGTTCCCTAAGGTTGTCCTCTCTTTGCCTTCCCTTAAGTTCTTGGATCTCCGCTACAACGAGTTTGAAGGCAAGATCCCGTCAAAGCTCTTCGACAGAGAGCTTGACGCTATATTCTTGAACCACAACAGGTTCCGGTTTGGGATTCCCTCGAACATGGGGAATTCCCCTGTTTCCGCTTTGGTTCTTGCGGACAACAATCTCGGAGGATGTATCCCTGGAAGTATTGGTCAAATGGGGAAGACACTCAACGAGCTTATCCTCTCCAACGACAACTTAACCGGTTGCTTACCTCCCCAAATCGGAAACCTCAAGAAAGTGACAGTTTTTGACATCAGCTCAAACAATCTACAAGGTCCGTTACCATCTAGCGTCGGCAACATGAAGAGCTTAGAAGAGCTTCACGTGGCTAACAATGGCTTCACAGGAATCATTCCTCCAAGTATCTGCCAGCTTTCTAACCTTGAGAACTTCACTTTCTCTTCCAACTTCTTCACCGGTCGTCCTCCTCTATGTGCAGCTACTTCGTTAGTCGACGCTGTAGTGAACGGCTCCATGAACTGCATCACCGGTTTGGCTCGGCAAAGATCGGCTAAGCAATGCTCATCTCTGCTTGCTCGTCCTGTTGATTGCAGTAAGTTTGGATGTTATAACATCTTCTCTCCACCACCACCAACGTTCAAGATGGCACCACAGTTCCGGACACTTCCTCCCCCGGTTTACGTGTACTCATCCCCTCCACCACCGTCATCCAAGATGTCGCCTACCGTCAGAGCATACTCTCCTCCGCCACCACCGTCGTCCAAGATGTCGCCTACCGTCAGAGCATACTCTCCACCACCGCCTCCATATTCCAAAATGTCGCCTACCGTTAGAGCTAACCCTCCACCACCGCCTTACGTATACTCATCTCCTCCGCCACCTTATGTGTACTCATCTCCTCCACCACCTTACGTATACTCATCTCCTCCTCCACCGTACGTATACTCATCTCCGCCTCCGCCATCACCATCTCCTCCTCCACCGTACGTATACTCATCTCCGCCTCCGCCTTACGTATATTCATCTCCACCCCCGCCTCCTCCAAGTCCACCTCCGCCGTGTCCTGAATCGTCTCCGCCACCGCCTGTTGTATACTACGCACCCGTGACTCAAAGCCCGCCACCACCATCGCCGGTATACTACCCACCAGTAGCACAAAGCCCGCCACCACCGTCGCCGGTATACTATCCACCAGTAACAAACTACAGTCCTCCACCACCATCACCAGTATACTATCCGTCGGAAACACCAAGTCCTCCACCACCATCACCAGTATACTATCCGTCGGAGACACCAAGTCCTCCGCCACCATCACCAGTATATTATCCGTCGGAGACACCAAGTCCACCACCACCATCACCGGTATACTATCCGTCGGAAACACCAAGTCCCCCACCACCGACTGAGTACTACTATTGGCCAAACCAGTCACCGCCGCCAACAAAGGGATGTAAAGAAGGCCATCCACCACAAGCATCACCGAGTTACGAACCAACTCCTGAATATTCATACTCATCATCACCCCCACCGTCTACTCCATCATACTCCGACACGTCTCTTCCACCTATTCCAAGTGTCTCGTATGATGCGTCTTCTCCTCCTCCTCCGTCTTACTACTAGTTTCAAAACCATTGAGAACAAAAAAAAAAAATGCATTAACGACTACTCACAATTATATTCTTTTGGCTGCGAGACTTTTAAAGTTGTGTGTTTGGTTGATTTTTTCTAAAAAATACATTCGAGTTATTTTTCTTTCTATTTCTTCTGGATATTTTGTTATCTTTTTTCCCCTAACACAGAGCTGCATTTAGCAGCAATGGAGTATATAGTTTCAGTTTTATCTATCGTATCTGTATTTGTTATTAATGTCATTAAAAAATGTTCTGTATAAATAATAAAAATAATAAATACACACTCATTTAACAGTTTCTTTGTACCTCAAAATTAAAAATTCAGTTTTAATTTAGTAAAAAATGTAAATATGACGTCAACTTCTCAGTGTTCATCTCAAGAACGGCAGCTTAAAAAAAAATCTATACGCTACCTACCACTTCGAAACAACTGTCCTCTCTTTCTATAAGCTACTGGAATTTGGGAATTAGCTTGGGAAACTTCGCCGGAGAGTCATACATCGTCGCATTCTAGTGTCTTCATGGCGTTGCTGAAGTCCTTTATCGATGTTGGCCCAGAGTCGCACTTCCCTATCCAGAATCTCCCTTATGGTGTCTTCAAGCCGGAATCGAACTCCACTCCTCGCCCTGCCGTCGCTATTGGCGATTTGGTACTGGACCTCTCCGCGATCTCCGAAGCTGGGCTTTTTGATGGTCCGATGCTCAAGGACGCTGATTGCTTCCTTCAGGTTCGTTTTTCTCGATTCCTATTAACTCGGATTACTATGTAGTAGTTACCTGGGAACGTATCCGTGGATGGTTTCAAATTTGGTATTTGAATCATATACTTTCTCTAGTTTACTCCACCGTTAAAATTGGTGAGTAGCTCTGGATTGCGTCACCGACCAATTATTCACTGTATTTAGCCAATTTCGTTTAGCTCGGAAAATTCTGATGTTCTTCTAAATTTCTCGTTGCTTCAGTTGGTACACTTTGAGTTTTCTGATCACGGTTCTGAACTTTTGCCAACCATGATTGATGGGTCTGATGTGATATTTCCCTTCTTTTATGATCTGATGGTTATAGTTTTGTGCTTACACTAAGCTATTTCTTTATAAGGATGAGGTTCTGTTCATGTTCTAGTCAATCTCTTTGTTTGTTAATGTTTTAAGTTTCTGTGGCTCTGTTTACAGCCTAATTTGAATAAGTTCTTGGCCATGGGACGGCCTGCGTGGAAGGAAGCGCGTTCTACGCTTCAAAGAATTTTATCATGTAAGCTCTGTTTGATCATATTGATTCGTGTAAATTATGCGTGGTTTGTTATTTGGCTTTTTAAGGTTTGGGTTTTTGTATGTTTTTGATGCAGCTAATGAACCCATCTTACGAGATAATGATGTTTTGAGGAGAAAGTCATTCTATGAGATGGTTAGTACAGAAAAAAATTTGTTTCTGCAACAGGCTAGATGAGATTGTTTGAAGCTATTTTACTAATGATGTCTTTGTTTGGTGAGGATTTGCAGAATAAAGTAGAAATGATTGTTCCTATGGTGATTGGGGACTATACAGACTTCTTTGCATCTATGCATCATGCAAAGAACTGCGGACTTATGTTTCGTGGACCTCAAAATGCAATGAACCCAAATTGGTGCGTTTATATTACTTTTGAGCTGAGAGTTTTCTTCATGAAATGGTCAAGATTAGGAAAGGCTGACTTTGCAAATTTTACATGACATTACCATGTTTTTCAGGTTTCGTCTTCCCATCGCATATCATGGAAGGGCATCATCGATTGTCATCTCTGGGACCGACATTATTCGACCAAGGTTAGGCAATTGTGTGTTTATTATCTGTTTTTTGGTTTTTATACTGAGAATGGTTGTTAAGGATTCACATGTCATATCTAAAGTCATGCATCATGCAAGGTTTTATGCTTTGACAATAAAAATAGTTGTTCTTAATTTGTGAGAATATATTGAAACTGATTTGGAAAACTCAATACTGAAATGCTAATTCCAGTTTTATATTAACTTGTTTTGTAATCTTCAAGAGGTCAGGGCCATCCACAAGGAAATTCTGTCCCATATTTTGGACCATCTCAGAAACTTGATTTTGAGCTTGAAATGGTAAGCATCTGATGCCTCAGTTATGTGGATTCTCTTAAGAATGATTCAATTGATGCTAGTTTGTGTTACTTAAGCAAATCTCTCTTTTGTCACATGATATTCAGGCTGCTGTGGTTGGTCCAGGAAACGAATTGGGAAAGCCTATTGACGTCAATAATGCAGCCGATCATATATTTGGTCTAGTGCTGATGAATGACTGGAGTGGTACTTACTTGATCATAGTATTTGCTGAGTCATCCATTTAAGTTGACCGTGCATGACCGGTTTTATGAAATGCTTGTTGTTAACTTGTTATAGCTAGGGATATTCAGGCGTGGGAGTATGTGCCTCTTGGGCCTTTCCTAGGGAAGAGTTTTGGTGAGAAATTAGTATCCAAGCTTGATATTGGGCTTCAAAACTTCAATTTCGTTTACTCTAATTGGAGTATTTGAGGAAGGAACTTCAGTGAATGTTGATTTGTTGTGTTGTAGGGACTACTGTATCCCCTTGGATTGTTACCTTAGATGCGCTTGAGCCTTTCGGTTGTCAAGCTCCCAAGCAGGTTGGTACTTAGGCATCACATTCTTCTTGGTGCAATGCAATCATTGATTCTCTAATCTAACATATGCTTTTTGCAGGATCCACCTCCATTGCCATATCTGGCTGAGAAAGAATCTGTAAATTATGACATCTCTTTGGAGGTAGCATTCAATATTTACCCGTAGAGTTTAATTTGTTTTCACTATCAAGTATCAACTAGCTTATGGTGGATTAAATCAAAAATAAACATGATTTGTTTCTCTGCTTATAGGTTCAACTAAAACCTTCTGGCAAAGATGATTTATGTGTAATAACAAAGAGCAACTTCCAAAACTTGTGAGTTCCTCTTACCCAGTCCCTCTATAATTAATCAGTATGATTCTAACTCATTTAAACTTATGTTGACAGATACTGGACTATCACGCAGCAGCTAGCACATCATACAGTTAATGGTTGCAATTTGAGGCCTGGTGATCTCCTTGGAACGGGAACTATAAGCGGACCTGTAAACTCTTTCAAACCTACTCACTTCTCTGCTTAAGGATGTGATGGCTAAAAATAACAAGAAGGATATGTGTTTCTTGATTCTTAACGTAGGAGCCAGATTCATATGGGTGCCTACTTGAGTTAACTTGGAATGGACAGAAACCTCTATCACTCAACGGATCAACTCAGACATTTCTCCAAGACGGTGACGAAGTGACCTTATCAGGCTTATGCAAGGTATCAGCTAACTAACAGAAGTTTAGTTTTTGTTTTATGTCCCAACAATTCCAGATGATTATGAATTTGCTTGCTAATCAAATTACGGCAATGAATAAACCGGTTGTAGGGAGATGGTTACAATGTCGGATTTGGAACCTGCACAGGGAAGATTGTACCTGCACTCCCTTGATCTGCTCTCGCCGGTAAACATACCTTTATCACATTAATAATTATTTTCCTTAGAACCCTGAATTATTGTATTATTTAGACCAAATTTTTAAAAAATTCCCTTCCTTGCAGGAAAAATGGTGAAAAATAAAGATTTCTGTAATCACGATTACGCACTTGGGGTATGAATAATGGAATATAATTAAGTAGATAACCCCATCATCGGATTAATAATAATATCATCTTAATATGTTATTCAATCTTTTATAAAGAAAGACAACGGAATATTATTAACTTTCTACATAAAAAGCTTTAGCAACGGTCGGTCACAAAAACTTTGAATAATTTGGTCTTTACTCTTACTACTTACACTAGTGAGTGAGTTATAAATTTTTATTCAACATTATCACGAGTAATATATGAGTCAATAACGACCACCGTCAGAGAAATTCTCATCCATATCCAAAAAAAAAAGAAAGAAAAAAATGAGAAGTGCGAAAAAATTCTCATCGTCGACAAGAACCACCACCGTTAACCACACTTTTTATAATGACCAAAATACCCCTCCAGCTACATCATCCAAACAAGTCCCGATCGAAACTCCATCACCGGCGGCGAAAGCCACCTTCAAGACTAACTCCACCCCCGCCGACGCAGCAGCGAGGATCCAGTTCGGCTACCGCTCTTACAGGATCCGAAACCTATACAAGACAATCGCATCCGTCAATCGAGAAGCGAATCGCGTGCAGAGCATGATCCAACGGCAAGAAACGGTCGACGCCATTAGAACCGATGAGAAGGAACGTCTTCGGATGAACGAGACTCTAATGACTCTGCTCCTAAAACTCGACTCCGTTCCAGGTTTAGATCCGTCGATCAGAGAAGCGCGGAGGAAAGTGAGCCGTAAGATCGTGGGGATGCAGGAAATACTCGATTCAATCTCGGAGACAAACGACGAGATCCAATGGTGGAATTACAACGATCTCGGAGGAGTCGACGCCGGGCAAGGCGGCGGCACGTGGCCTTTGTATTGGGAAGAAGCGGTGGAGGAGGAGATGTGTAGAGAGAAAGGCGGTGAGGAAATGGAGAGGTTCTGTGCTCAGTACTTGGGTTTCAGATGTTTCCAGAGATTTCTCCGAGAATGAACTACGGCGGTAAAAGAAACTAATCGCGTGTGTCGCGGTCTACGATTAGATTCTCTATTTTACTCCGTTTTTGTATGTATGTAAACTGGAATACGTGCCGTCTTTACTACATTCATGGAAACGTCGCGTAGTTTTTATATAGTTATTGTCATGGATAATATACGAATTACACAATTACGGTCTCCAAAGTCCAAACTCAATTTTAGGCCTATAGTACATACTACATAGTAATGCTAAGAATTAATAAATTTAATGTATGTTAGAAAAAAATTAAGAGATAAACTTACATAAATATGTGATTAGTGATGTTTATATGAACTATACGAATTGAAGCATTCAACATATATGAAGTTAAAATACAAAAGATCCAGCAGTTGATACATTATTATTTCCAAACATAAAAGAGAGGATTAAAAGTCGAATTTTCGTTCTTAAGCCGCGCAACTACACTTACACCTAGAAACGCAGCGTTTACACTCGAGCAGTGAGGGCTTGGCCGCGGTGTCGCATCCGCACGTAGTGGTGCATGTCTTCTGAGTCACACCACCCCAAAGGCAACGAGCCATGCATCGGAGCACCGGCACACACTTAGGACAAACGTATTTCATTTGCTCCGCCATGCATGTCTTGCAGCTGTTTCGTGACGGCGGGTGCCGGCAGACACCACGGGAACCGGCGGCGGCGGTGACTTTCGAAATGGATAGCAGGAGGATTATGAGGAAGACGAGAGAAGAGAAGAGGCTTTGAAATTTGTAGGTCTTCTTCATGTTGGATTTTGGTTTTGGTTTTGTGAGAGAGTTGAATATTTGATAGAGGTTTTATTCGAAAATATTTCTGTTGATTAGGTTCGAGTGACTTCTACAAGAGTTAAAATACGAGTCTGATAGTGCAGTACACCAAGTTGCATTTAAGTGAGACATTCATTGTTCTTGAAGTGTACAATTTCCTTAAATGCCTTCTTCAATCTTTTTACAACGAATAAAAATCATGTGTTATAATATTCATGCTTGATGAAAACAAAGTAAAAAATTCAATCGATCTCTAGCTAGTTTGCAAAATAAAATATAATCTGAAAATAGTAACTTACAGAAAGCCAAACAAGCAAATTGTCTATATCAAGTGAGATGACGAATCATTAAAAAATATATTATTGAAGAACTATATATATTTAACAAATATGAACTTATGAAAGAATTTAAATTAAAGAGCAAATAATAAGTTGAAAAAAAATTTGATTAATAATATATAAATTTGTTCTCTTCTTCCAGTAAATTATAATGGATCACACCCAGTTCTTGCGAATGTCGAAGGTGTAGTTGTTCTCCAAGTAGCATTTATTATCATCATCCACGAACTGCAAAAAAGTTATAAGACCTTTATTATAAATCCATTCTAAACCAGAGTTTTGATACACTACGCCTAACAAAAAAAAAAAAAAACAAACAAAACTTATGTACCTTAGATTTAACGGAATAGGAGCCTCTAACAAGCAAACCAGAGGGAGCCGTTTCCTCAAACATGACATGATCGTACGGTTCCGCCTGTGGACTATACGTCCCTAGCATCTCCTTTCTACTATACACTATTCTCCACAAAGAGATATTTAAAACTGTTTAGACAAAGGCTTCTCAAACTTGTGTAGTTAACAAATGTGTAAATGACAAAAACTAATACCTTTGATTCCGGTTTTCCAAACCGTATTGCTGTACCGGAGGCCGGACACAATGTTGTTGGTGACACGGAAAGTAAATATGAGAGTGTACTTCGAGCCTTCTTTGAGAGTGAACCATGGTCCTTTCGATGTTGGTTTTCCATTTTCGGGGATCTTTAATACCATGTCTTCTCTGTCCGGTGACCTAATTGTTAATGTCAATATCTTTACCACCGGATCCGGAGTCTCTGCATTCCACAATTTCTTACTCAATATCAAAACATTACATACATATCTATATAGTTTCTTTCAAAAACACAACATTCATTGTGGGACAAAACAATTACACGTATCTATATACCTAAGTCTAAAAAGTGACACATCTTCATCTGTTAAAGAAATGTGGTTACTTGGTCTAATCGTATCTTACGTTAATTCACTCAAAAATTAATGGAGGCAAGAAATGCATGAAAATATGGGACGAATTTACAGTTTTTACAATCATTAGAAATTCTCTAAACAGGATCCATAGCTATGATATACTCGGATTTTTACCTCCGACCTCCTCAAGATCCACGCTGCCTAGAAGTTGCTCCTTCCATCTCCTCAAGCTTTCATCATCCTAAACAAATTTTTAATCGTAGGGAAGTGATTAGATTGTCGTGGAGATATTGAAACCCAAATCCACCCGTTATTATACAGGCAAAGATATAACATATGTGTACTAAACATATATAGCCAAAAATCGAGGTTTTTGTAATGTATGAAATGATGATAGCAGGAGGCTATGAGAGATCAAATTAAACCTTGTCTTTCTCGAGCTGTTCTTTGAGAGCAATCATGGGACCAAGTTCAAGTTTCTTGTCTTCCTCTTCCTCATCATCATCTGTTGGACACATAGAGCTATGGCTGTTTTTCCTGCTTAGCCCTTGTCCCTTTGGCTCTTCTGAATACTCTTCAGCTTTCTTCTCCTCATCTTTGAAACCCATTTTTTGTTTTCTTGATCTCTATTCGTTCTCTGATTGAATTCGGATCTTATAAAGCGTCTACAGTTTGATTTGATTTCCTGGAGATGGTTATGCGCAACTGGGTTTAACGAGGAGACAACCAAAAACACTTCAAAAAGGCAGCAAAGAAAATAGAAGAGGAAATTAAAGAGCCTAATTAAAGGATTTGTTTTTGGTCAAAAGAATGAGAAGAAAGTAACAAGAAGAGAAATATAGAGAACTAAAATTAAGACAATGAAAGAGAAAGAGTTGATACTGTTTTTGTTTGAGGAATGTTTAAATATGGATTTCGAAGAAAAAGTCATGTGATGATCCTTAATTAAGACTTGTAGTCTTCCCGTTCACAGGATTTAAGTTCCTTTTTCCTAAAAATAATTTGTACGATATAATTAACAACTATATGTACATGCATGCACGTATAGCTCGATATAATTTGTTGGCCCATTTAGTTAGGCCTCAAGCCCTAAGTCTAATGGTATATGAACTTGGACATCCACCACAATCTTGTTGCTACTACAATATATAGCATAAAAAATGACATCAGTTTTTTTTTTTTTTTTTTTTTGTCAACAAAAAATGACATCAGTTATAGCATAAAACTATATTTTTGAGTTTTTTTTTGGCTATCGGTCGAGCAAAATCCGAACCATTTCAGATTGACACTTGTATATATTTGCCTACTATAAGAAAAATGAAAATTCGAAAAAGTTCATCACCGTCAAGTCACAAGTGCCAACTAATCTGGCGACGATCGAAGAGATTCCCTTCCTCTAAGATAAACATCTACCATCAGATTTAAAGCCTCTTTTCAGAATCAACGGTGTGAAAATCCAGACGTTAGAGAAAAATATATATTCAAGAGACACATATCCTTCACTTTGTCCAGCTTTAACGTTACACATGTTCAAGGCATGGGACGTTTTATCATAATTGGGACACTAAAAGTGAATTATTTGCAACTTTCGTTTCAGATCTACATCATAAAGATTTATCAATTACGCTCGAACAACAGTATCCATTAAAAAAAATCTGAACTTAGAAATAGATTGATAGATGCATTACTATTGTGTTAGGATTGTAGTGTACTACTGTAGATATATATTACCAACCGAGCGATATGTCCCTCTCGGTGTTGACCTATACCTAATATATCTACTCAGTTTCTCCCTATGTGTCTACCTAAAAAATTTCCAATTTTGTAACGTTCATGGTTCATCCCTTAATGCATTATTGGTGTTTTTAAGTTTAGTTTCGGATACAATCAATGGGGTCAACTGAAATGGGGTCATCTTAGCCGTCCAAACCCTTTTTACCAGCTTTTCTGCTGTGGTCATTCTTTACAGATTGTGAGAGTACGTGGCTTGTGGCTGTATCTTCACTTTTTCTTCGAAACTGAAAAACCAAATTCCTAGCTAATCACACAATTTGCTCTATATATTTCCACAACTAAAACGTATATACATGTTTTTTTTTTTTTTTTGGTAACAGGCTTAGTATATACATGTTGTTTTTAAGGTTTCAAAACCTAGAAAATTATCGAAAGGATTTAAGAATATGTAATCTAATTAATCGGTTACTGCTTGTTGGCACCATTAACAACGTAACGAACATAAAATATACAGTAATTAATTAGAGAAAAACATCAATCACATAATTTGTTTTTTATTTTACCAACATCAGTATGTTTACATAAACGAATCAATCTTTCTAACTGACTGAATATTTAAGGTAAAAAGATGAATATAATTTATATAAATGTAATATGTTTAAACTATATACTTAGCGAGAGACAACAATGTCGAAATTAATCGCAAGTATATTTTTATTTTCTGCTATTTAATTATATAAATTAGGTAATTAATTTAAGAATATAATTTCAATGTTTAAAAAAAAAAAATTAACATATTAACAATAATATTAGTTAATATTATATTTCTGTTTTTTTGTTAGGCATATAGATACCTGTTTATATAAAAGGAAAAGGAAACTAATGTACAAGGAAGGGTCCCACATTCACGACGAATCCTACCTGGCTCACACTCACATGGGCCCGCGTTAACTTTTAGCCACGTCATCATTTGTCAAATATATATAGTACCAATTTAGTAGTACTAAATAATTTCTTTAGAAGGATTTTTATCTATTTTATTCATAGAAAACACTTTTGAATCGTCAAAAATTTTATTGACTCTAATAGTAAAGATTGCATTATCTTTCTCAGACAATAATCAATCTAAATTCCTTAAACATGATCAAAATGTTGAAAAGAACATCATTATATATATACACAGTTAATTCATCAAGTATAGTTCTTTATACCTGTTTCTTACGTGGCATGCTATTAAACCGTATGATAATGGTGTACGTAGAGTTCGAACGTCATAGGAGAACATTGCTCATGATTTTGGATGATCAACAGAATAAAAGATGGTCCACGCATGCAGGCGTTTAATACTTGCTTTAACTGATGGGATTTCTAAAAGAGGTCAACGTTCACAAAAGAGAAGTTCTAACGTTCAGTTTCATAGGAGTTCCAACGTTATTTACATGATATGTTTCTTGTAACGTTCACCGGGCTATATAGGTCGCAGAATAAGAGGAAAAAAAAAAGAACTTCTCCAAAAGTTCTTTTGCAGATAAATTTTTCTTTTTTGGTATAAAATAAATTTAAATTTCTTAGTTGATTTTTTTTTTTTTAAATTACAACTTGGTACGTAATGGTTAAGTGATGATGTTCTATGTTTATGTGGCATGAGGTGTATAATTGTACAATTTGTTTTTTATATAAGGAAAAAAAAAGATTCTTTCATGTGCAATACTCATTATCTCGATATATTATTTAATGACATTTATTGTAGACAAGCAAAAAAAAAGAAACTAATAATTAATATATATTTTGTAACAAACATTATTGTAAATCATTTTGCTTCTACTATAAATACCACTCTCCCCTTGATCAATTCTCTTCACTCACCAAAGCATCACATTCACATACACTTACACTTTCTTCTCCCCTTCTTATTTCCCTCTTAAGCTTTTTTTTTCATTTCGAGATGGCCACCGTTGAGGTATTGTCTTTACATATTAGTTACTTTATAGTTCAGATTATAAATTTATATCCGTACGTCATAATTTTCTGTATTACTCTTTTTTGCTTAACGATCAAATTATTTTAAGCTGATCATAAAAAACGACATACAGTTTTTGTGTTTAATGAGTGTGTTTTGGTTTACAGGTTGAACAAGTGACTCCAGCAGTCGTAGAGAACGTTGAGGTACCAACAAAGACAGTCGAGGAGCCAGTGGTGACCCAACAACCTGAAGAACCCGTCACCGCCGTGGCAGAAGAAGAAAAGGAAGCACCAGCCGTGGAAACGAGCAAAGAAGTGGTTGTGGAAGAGGCAGAGAAGAAAGATGATGAAACAGAGAAGAAAACAGAGGAGGAAGAAGTGAAGACAGAGGTGATCACGGAAGCCCCCGCAGCTGTGGAGGAGGAGAAGAAAGCAGAGGAAGTAGTAGAGAAGGAGGAGGTGACAGAGGCTACAGCAGTTGTGGAGGAGGAGAAGACTGAGGCGGCGGAGGAGAAACCAACTGAAGTTGCGGCTGCTGAGGAAGTTGTCGTCGAGAAGGCCGAGGAGTGAAGAAGAAGGAAGAAGCTTTAATTGATGACCTATATTTGGTCTTATAAGTTATATCGTTTTCTGCTATTTTAATTTACTTTATCATAATCTCATATAAATATGTAATTTCCATCGTTTATTTGGTTTGTTATAATGAAATCAGATGTTTGGGACTTTTTTAATCAGATGTTTACATGCTTGATCGTTCATAACATATAGCTTCAAAGTATAACCGAGAACATGGAAGATTAGAAACCGTTTCCGGTTGCGTTATATGTACAAGCAAACAAAATAATAATTACATAAACCTTTTCAAAATATTTACATAAACATTTTCAAAATACATATAACATTATTCAGTTGTTTCATAGAACTGTATATACTTGTCTTTAGCGTTTAGGTTTGCTACCAATGTAAAGTTTTTAAGATGTACTATAAGATTGTGATTTTTATTTGGAAATTTGGAAATATTTTCATATTAATTGTGAACGATAACAATGTTCCTAAAATCGTTTGTTTCTATCCCAATTCATCAAGAGAATCGTAAGAGAATTTCAAAGAGGTCAATGATGCAATCTTGAATGCAAAAGATCTGATATTCTTGGTTTTTAAATATGAATCAAACAATGATTATATTGATGATTTACCAAAAGATTTTAAATCTATAATCTTAGAGACGTCGACGAATTAAAGTTAACTCTACTAGTCGAAACGTTTTAAAGCGACATACTTACAAAAGATTGCAGTAGAATTAGTCAAAGACTATAAAATATAACGCACAGTCAGAATCTATATAATGCGTTATTGTTGTACCTGTCAGATAGAGGCACACAAAAGATGATAATCGTTTATAGAATTCACTTTGGTGTTGTTGGTTTTATATTGTTTGGGCCTTTACTCGATCTGTAGGCAATAATGTTATATGAGCCTAGCCCACCTTAGCATGCAATTTCATGGAAATTTGCCATAGATTTCATTTTCATATGTTCTAATTCATTTGAGTAAATACAAAACCACAATAATTACAGATCTAATTGGAGATGTGAGAAAATGATCTATACACACACTCACACACATTTATTAGTTTATCACAAGTGTGTTGAGCCTATATATCTACAGTCACTGAAATCTTGTGCTATCGACAAATGATTATATTCAAAATATATAATTCACAAATCACAAGCCATTGCTTAAAGATTGAACTCTGTTTAGCAATAATGAAATCATTGCAAAAACTTAACAAAAAATGTACATACGCAAAAAAAGATTGCTCCAATATCCCACTAGTTTGTTTTTGGAATTTAGCACATCCATGAGAGACATGAAGTTCATGATTCAAAAATACAAAAAGATGGAGATTGCTTCTAAAACTGTATCTTGCTTAATCGATATATAATTCACATTATAAATGATTTTGGAGATATTATTCATTGAACTAAGAGTAAGAAGAAAACAAAGAGAGTTCACGGGCTCAATATGCATCCACCGAAATTTATTTATATAATTGCTCCTTTAGGGACCATCCAAGTCTGAAATGACACGCAAGACATCGTGACAGCAAACTGTTATGACACAAACTCACAAAAATGTAATTAAGTTCCTTTGTTTTTAAATGAATAGTTTCTGTATATATTTGATTAATTAATTGGTTATTGGAGTGCTAAAAATAAGTGACAGAACGATCGTGAAAGTGATCTCTAGCAATATTTCCCTAGCATTTTTTTCTGACTCTACGAACTAGCATCGTATCTGTTCCTTTAACTCAGATAACGATGAGATTAATAGTAACATCATTATTTGTATCAACACTAATAAATGATATATAATTGTTCTTCATTTTTATTTCTTTCCGTTTGATGTTTTTATTTTTTTTGAAAAAAGTCATGAAACTAAATTAGAACAATGTTCCTCCGAATTGGCTTATTTAATAGGCTCATTTGAGTTGATCTTATTAAACAGTTGAACAGGAAAAAGAAAAAAAAAATTTCTATAGCCTCTATATATGGCCTTGGTCACAAAACATTCCTCGTCGATTATGACATCCACTATATGTATTATTGTATTTATTCAACAATTGACGGCCAATTGCAAGCTGAACTCCTAAACGTCACGTTAAATTACAACCGCAAGAGATTTTATATATAATTAATTTGTCCTTGAGATTAATTAGTACTTTATATTAATTTTGTCTTCTTTGTTCTTTTTTACGTTTGTTTGCTTTGATTTTGATTTTTGAGGTTATAAATGTACATAAAAAAACTATCTTAAAACCCAAAATATTAGATATATGAAGTGAAATATACGACCAAAATCCGTTGTTGGATAACGTTTTACGTACCGTATAATGATACCGGATTTATAATAATTAGTCTTAATATATGTACGTAATAATCTTGTAGCCAATCATATATATACACAAACGATTTTTTCTCCTTGGAAGTGCATGTGGTTAGAGACCCATACGTTTTCCCTTTGTTTATGTACCTCATTATGTGAACTTTGAGGCTGGTTTGTTTTCCTGTAACTACTCCTCCATGGCTGGAGTTTGAGCTTCTTTATTAAAAATGTTGGTTTACAAAAAAAAAAAAAAAAAAAAAAAAAAAAAAAAAAAAAAAAAAAAAAAAAAAAAAGAGACCCATACGTGGTCTGGAATCTTTCAACTTTATTGAAGTGGTTACTACTTGCTACTATCCCAAAAAGACGAAACAAAACAAAAACACACCTTCATGTTTGTTCTTTAGGTCCTTCTTTCCTAGTCCCATTTGACGACCAAAAGAGATCTTATTACTTACTCATCAATATATATCCTTCACTAGATTCTTTATTCACGGAAAAGAATCGTTTGTTTATAGTTAGATTTTATATACGATCAAGATATGGGCAATCTTGAATATGTGATCATAACTAGTTAAGTCATATCGCATCTTTACTTCGTAATACGTTAGATTCTGTAACTAAGTCGTCAACATATCTATATGTAGTTATGTACTCCTTGGTGTATAACTATTAACCAGTAGGTTAATACCTTTTCCGCTGTCAAAACACATTTCGTTATATGGTGGCATTTGTTTGTATATTGATGTTATAACGAGCTACTATATTAATATAATATATATATATATATATAGATATATATATATATATATATTGGTAACCATATAAATGTGTATTGGTTACTGCCTTTGCATGAAGACAATAGTAATAAGGACGCAAAATTTTAAATACTGATGGAGACGTCAGGCCCGATCACAGTTTGAGACAGATGTCTATACTAAGATCTTTCCTAGCTCGCTCCTGTGGCAAAAAATCATTAACTCGCCGTTTAGTATGCATACAATAAAATTTCGAGTAAATAAAAAAAAAAATCGAGTAAATCGAATTGCAAATTAATTTCGTAGGATTACATACATGATATCCCTCCAAACTGATAACTATAGTTTTGCTTTTCTGCCATTAATAATTTAGAAAAAGTTAATTTGTTTATGATCGTTTAATTTGTAGGGCATGACATTGACACATGTAGCGTTAAATCTGTAGTGTGATTTTCTAATTGAAGAAAACATAATATGCTAAACAAGTTCTGAGGCTAGTTTTGATAGTTTTCTTGTAATTATATTCATGTAGGTTTTCATTGTGAAGGATCCAGACGCGAATAGTAAAGCTCATGCTATTGGTAATAGTAAAAGTATCCGACATGATACATCCAACAACTGATATTAATTCTATTTTATTTTGGCGAGCTTAATGTTTCACTGTGTATAAGTGAAAGCATATAATAAAAATTTAATGCTTTATTAATTCATAGAATCGTAGTACAAACCAATACAACAATATCCCCAATAAGAGTAATAGGAAATAATGAAACTGTAAAATTTCAAGAATCTTACGGATCACACAGACAGAGACATAAAGACTCCAGTGAACACCATAACAAGAAGAATAGAAGAAACCACGAAGTAATATATATAAAGACACAATAACAAGAGTATATAGATTCACCTTGTCTCTTTAAAACAAGAAGATACATATACACATAAGTGTGTTTAAATCATATATCAATATGGTTATTAGCATTGGAAGCCAGAAGGAAGTTGTTTGCTGCAAACATTGAGGAGCAGACTTAGAGAGATTGGGACGTTCAAGTTAATTCCAAGAACGTTAGCCTTAAGGGCGGTGCAGAGGCAAACGGCTGCTTCAACATCAGCAAGTCCTTGGATGAGGCTACAGCATGGCTCGACTGGTGGCTTGCCAAGGGTCAAGTCGAGGAGGCCGTTGAGTACATTAGCGCAGACTCCAAGCTTGAGGGTGTCTTTAGGGCATTTGTTCGAGGTTGGTTTAGGTTTAGGGGTTGGCTTTGGCTTTGGCTTGGGAGAGGGGCAACCTCCACCGCAGGGACTGCAGCTACCGCAGGCGGAGATTGTTGTGAAGAGGAGGAGATTGAGAGCCAAGAAAAGGGCAATGGAGCTTGTGGTTCTTGAAGCCATTTTTTGTTGAGGAGAATACTGTTCACTAGCTATGTGAGTGAATTGGTTGTGAAGAAAATGAAGGGAATTGAGATAGGTTTTATAGTGGTTCCAAGGAAAGCCCAAGAGCGTCCATGAGATATTATTGGAAGTTTTATATGATAAAAAAATATGAATTATTGACTAGCGTTATCATTATTTTATTGATTACAATTAATAAAATTATTAAATGATAGAAGTGTACACGGAAGTTAAAAAATATTGTCCATAAGTATATGAAGACATGAAATTTTAATTGCGATGTCAATGGTTTTTTTCGATGTATAATCTGAAAATTTTGTTAGAATGTATCAATTGTTTTTGGATAAATACGTTGTTGTTGTAATGACACGAAATATTATCGAACTTCAACTCGATGTTTATGTACGTTTTTTTTAACGAATTATGACTGCTTTATATTATTTGTCTGATTTTCACGTCAAATTACTAAGTTCTACGTAAAATTTACGGTTTTTAGGCTTTTTATTTTGATAAGAAAGTCTTTCTATGAATTTTCTACAGTACTTAAAGAATATAGACTTTCTAAAATAATTTTTAATATATATATTTCGTATATATATAAAGAGATATTTTATAATGCATGGTTGCCATAGAAACCATGTGATGGTGAGTGACAATGCGCATTGTGCCCTTGTGCCCTTCACAAACAAATGTAAAACAAGATAAGATGGATCATGATAGTACAACGAAGCGCCTCACTGCACACACAATCACACATATACCAAAAAGACATCTTCCTCTACGTACACTCGTCTAGCTGTCGTTGCATAATTCAAAATTTGTATATAGTAAGAAACCATCACCAAATGAAAGCTAAGTCAATTTCTAATCTTTTGATTAACATCTGGCTTGATTCAAGGGTGTCAAATTACTCTCTACCGTATAAAATTTTATATGCTTCTACATGACCTAAATGTAATACAATTAACCGATTTTCAAAAACAGTTAGGTAAAAAGAATAAAATTAACTTCAATAATACCTTTAAAGAATATTATATATTATTGAAACATTGAATATATAATAAATGAATCCTGCAAAAAACATATTGGAATATAGCTCTAGGTCAAGTAAACGTCCTTTTGTAGCATCCAATACTAGCGTAAGTTCAAATTTGTTAAAAAACAAACGTCCTTTTCATAGCATCCAATATAAGCGTAATTTCATTTTCAGTTCAACGTATCCACTTGCTCGTGAGTGCGTATGTAGCTATCGAATATATTAGAAATTAACTAATCCCATAGCAATTTTTTTTATTTGGGAAATATTTCACTATTAAAATCATAAGTAGATTAATGCTGTTATGTGGAAACCAAATTTACTATATTTCAAAATTAGTGGTAGTTTAGCCGCCCTCAATAGCCATATCGTTTTTAGCATATGTTAATTTTGGGTTGAAGACAGTGTGTTCTTTTGGCTCAACAAATTAAGACACAATTCACAGTTAGAAACTGTACTTATTAAACGATTGCAACTTGGCCTTCTGCCCCCACACATGATTTATGTTAATTGTACATACCAAAACAAAGTATTTCTTTTTATTATTATTATTTTAATTTCTTATTATTGTTCACTTCACGGGATTGCATAAGATTTCTCAATCGCCCATTGGTTCGTCTTGTAATCCATTGGACAACAAAATGATACTACAGTATGTTTTTTTCTGTTTTATTATTATTATATAACGAAAGAATTAATATCGCGTAATTAAGTGGTTTTATTGGGTTAGTGACGTTTTCAAAAAATTTCATAATGTAAGAACGATTTCTTTGATATCTAATTCAAATTTTGGTTAAGCTGAATTAGTTCCGACTCCGAGAGAGAAATATATACATTTCGTTAAGTACATTAGTGTTATATATATACTTCGGAATGCCTCTTGTTGAAACGGAAAAACTTAACCGTATTATGTGTCTAACATTGACGATGCCTAAAATTCCAAAATTTCCAATTGTATGTGACGCATAATTAGTGTAAATTATAACTATATATATGTTCATAATTCGTTACTAACAAACAATAATGGGAAAATAGTTTATATAAATACACTTTAGATAAATGAATAAGACTATACTTCTACTATCATCTATTAATTATAATTCATCAAAAAGTGCATCTATAAGTAGTCTTATACGAATTAGTATCAAGTTGGTAATTAATAATAGCACCTACACTCTAGTCTTCTTGACACATGCGAGTCTTCTGGTTCACTTCGGAGCCTTCACACTTGTTCCTATATAAGCCCTAACTGTCGCTCACACTTAGTCACAAAGCTAATCACATCCTTTCCTCTAGTCACATTGTTAGTCAACATTTATTCGGGATTAACTTAGAGATCAATGGAATCCCACAGATCTTTTTCCGCAGCTCTCTTCTTATCATTTAATCTCATGTTTCTTGCATATGTTAGTGGCTGCAACACTTGCTTGCCAACTAAGCCAATCCCAAACCCTAACCCAATCAGCAATCCAACAAAGCATAGCTGCCCAAAAGATGCCCTCCAACTTGGTGTTTGCGCCAAAATACTAGATGGTGCAGTCGGAACTGTCATCGGAAACCCACCTGACACACCTTGCTGCTCAGTACTCAAAGGGCTTGTCGATCTTGAAGCTGCCGTTTGTCTTTGCACCGCCATTAAAGCTAACGTTCTCGGGATTAATATCGACATTCCCATCTCCTTGAGTTTGCTCATCAACACTTGCGGCAAAACGCTCCCCTCTAATTTCATTTGCGCCTGATATAAGTTGTTTAAGGATGAATCGATCGAATAGTTTTACTTTTGTCGTGTGTGTGTTTATTTTTTTGCTTCTGTTTGTTTGGTTGGTTCACGTCTAACTCAATCCGCATGTACTTTTGTTTTTGTCATTTCTGAAAATTTATTGGTGCCTAGTTTTGTTGGTGTAAGATTTTATCTGTTTCACGTATTTAGTTTCCTATGTTAAGGGCTTCCAACTAGATAATTAGCCTTACAAAACCAAAAAAAAAAAAAGTTTTTACCAAAGCATGGCCACATAAACTTTTATATGAACGTTCTTTAGAAAAGATTAGTCTTAAAAAAAAAAAAAGATTAGTCTTAAAACTTTACATGGCAAGTAAATAGGAAACTGGAACCCGTGACACGGACCCATCTGCGCATGCGACCACCTAAAGAAGTAAAAAGATAAATTGAAGTAAATTGTACGTACGTGCATGGCCAGATCTTTACCCCTTGTTCTATATTTAACTTCGTCGAAAATTATTGAATAAATTTAATTTAGAAAACTAAAATGATGATGAATATATATGATGCAAGTTGTAGATTCTGTTAAAAAAACAAAAAAAGAAAACAAGTATATGTTCATATAAATCCAAGATCTAGAGAGTAGCCATAGGTCCATCATGCTACCTTGTAAGAATTAATATCAAGTTGGGAACTGTATATATATATACAATGTACCAAGGACAAATTAATGAAAATCTTAAATATATATATATGTATCGGCCTTGGGCCATGCCTGATGGAACTTAAACTAAGTGGATTGGAGCCGTTTCATTTGATCAAAACAAAGAAGTGTCTAATACCACTTCACAAAGACATATATATGCAGAAAGCACAAACTAGCTAGTATGATCCTCCACATGTAGCATATGCCATATCTTGAAGGTACTTCACAATCCTCAGGCGACTCTAGAAGCATATATTTTACCTTCGATAACTATTAAGCCAATTTATTAGACGGACAACGTCACCGGTACAGAAGGTGGCCGACCTAGGCAATTCTCCGCATCACTGACACGTGAATATTTTAGAACATAAAACTAGATAGATTTAGCCCATCAAATAGTAAGCCCATTAATAATATAACAACTCATTGTGGCCCAATAGTAAGAGCTTGGTCCGTTTTGTTAAAATAATATAAAACGTTAAGATTAAAGAATTAAGAACTGCCTAACAAAATACCAAGATGCAAAAACTCGATCGAGGTTTTACGTTGTAACATGATCAGATTAAGAAAGTGCATATCAAATCTAAAGATGTGAAGACTCGATCGGGATGTTATGTTTTTAACATTTAAAGATTAACAAACTGCAATATAAAATCCTCAACATTATTATTTGTATTAAATACTGTATGTAATTATCAATGTTCATATTTCATTGACGACATTTATTTTCTTGAGCGTCATTGTGAAGCGGCAAATCTAATATTTCAACAGCATTGAAATATTTATGCATGTTGAATAAACTTATTAGTTAATGTTATAACGTTGAAATGTCGATGTAACGGGAGCTTCTAGCTAAGTGTCTCTTGGGTAACTCTTCGAAGCAGCAAATGAGAGATGCGAGACGCGAAAACTAGGGTGTAAAATTTTGACTCACAGTATTGGATCTATTTCAACGTTATAATATGAATGCGAAATAGTTGCCCAATGTTTAATTATAGTGTTTGAATAATGTTTAGAGTTTGAATAATGTTTAAATAGAATTCCTTTATTATTTTTTTCTCGAGTTAAGAACTTACACTATTAGAGTGTAAGTTTATAAGCTCTATCTGATTCTAGATCTTAATACCCATGAGTTTATTATCTAGGTGCATTTCTGAAATTTATTCCTCGCAAAACTCTAATTACCTTGGTTTACGTCTCCTTCTACTTTTACAGATTAGTTAAAATACTTTTAAAGAGAAGAGCTCACTAAAATTCATTAACGATCTTATAAACCTTTAATTAAAAATTGCTGTATTGGTATGGTATATACAATTAAACTTGCAATCGAAACAAAAATACTTGTCTAGTTATAAAATAGAATACATACCACCTCCGTCTTAGATTGTATTATATAATTAAGAGAAAATACTGATTTTCTCGTTTACATCATACTATTTTTTCAATTAAGTGTAGTCTATTTTTCATTTTTCTACAAATATATTTATATGTTTGTAGTATATATTAATACACAGTCACTTCTTTTAAGCAAACTCGTATACATTTGGCAAAATTGATAAATTTCAAATTTTCAAAAAATATGTATGATATAAAGTATAAACTTAATAAAATAATTTTTTTTATCGAACAAAATATTTTTTCTTAAATGACAGTTATAGACAAACGGATGAATTAGTATCTTTACGAATGACTATTTTAATTTTTTATGTTAACTAGTAAACTGAAAACTACTCTGCATAAACAAGTTTTAGGTTTTGTTATGTAAATTATACATTTTTGTTAACTAATAGTACTATATTTTCTGTTGATGTTCACATATATGGGTGTCTTTCAGTTCAATTCCCAAGGTTACTCTTTTAAATTAAAGTATCCAAGATCGTGCAAACTTCATTGCAAGCTAACCACATGAAATCCAGCTATATAGGAACGTATAGGACTATAGGTTATCTTTTTTTTTTTTTTTACGTGGTCTCGGATACATCAGACACGTCAGGTATGGAGTAACAAGTATATCAATCTCAACATTCTTAAAGAAAACGATTTTTTTTTCTTTTTAAAAGGGCTAATAAGAATACGAGTTAACAAGTAACTTGTGTTGCCCACCCGTAAAACTAAACGTCTACAATAAATTATAACTAACATAAAAAAAAAAAAGAGTAGCTAACCATCTTGACCTTGATCGATCAAACTAGTAGCTTCTTACATAATTGAACCGTTACACACATTTTTTTTTTTTTTTTGATAAAACCCGTTACACACTTTAATTGAGTAATTTGTGCATTAATAAGGTTCCAGTAAGGTAGTGAAAAATGTGTTATTACGGAAAATCCTTGAAAAATGAGATAAGACAAATAGTTTAACAAAAAAAAGCTGAAGAAAAATAACGCATATTCACAATATAAGCAATAATAAGTTTTGAAGAGGGTAAAGATCCAACCTTTCAGGATAAAATATTAAAAAGTTCAAAGAATCTCATTTGACAGAATGTGTTGGCCACATAATAATAAGTTGTTTCCTGCCTGGTGATATCTGGACATTGATAGAGAATCTCATATACCGGTTAAGGTGTTATTTGCTTACCTTTTTTGTAAGCAACCCTTGATTCAAGCATTTAGTCACTCCATAAATTAGATAATATAATTTATAAATATGCAACATCTTTCACTATATAATAGGTCTTAAAATTTCTGCAAAACAATTTGAAAATCAAGAAAAAGATAATTTATAATCATAATATCCTTTTACTTTTGGTTTGATTTCAATATAAAAAAAAAATATAACACTTTTTTTGTTGTTTAACATTTATATATATATATGCATGAACGTCGATATTGTAGAGAAAATATTTTGAAATTTTAATATGACATCAATGAAAGAATTGGGGCATATTGTTACCATCTTTTCACGTTAATAACTCACCTTACCTTCCTTATTATATTAGGAAACACCTAATAAAAATAGGGCGGCATTGCTTTACCTTATACTAAAATAGGAGATTCAAAATTTGCATTTGGTGTACAGAATAATTGCATCAGCTTCATCATATAGAGTGGAATAAAAAAAATCGAAAACATTTCTTATTTATTTTTAGTTTTTGGTTGTTATTTATAAGTAAGTCAACCATTCGGAGTGGCGTTGCCAAGTTTTTAATGTATATCCTTTAATGTGACCATGTCGACAATTAATATAAACAATCATAAAACTTTAACATGTTCTTGAGCTTATGCACACACACAAAAAAAAACTAAAACTTCTAACAAATTTATCACAATTACACTGATATCTTACATTTTTATGCAAAAACTGCTAGTATACATTTTTAAGCTGCTAAAATAAGAATGAAATTAAGTAAACTGAAATGCTAGGTATTGAAATATGCCTATTACATGAAATTAACGAGATTTATGTTTCAAAAACAAACGACTAACTTGTGTTTTTCGTTTTAGGACATTGTGAACGTTTGTGAAAACGCCTCCAGTTAAGTTTGTCTTTGCTTAATTAAAATTAGGTATAATTAATTAAAAGATGTCTTTTGAGAACATCAAAAAGACCATGTTTAGATATATGTCTGGTTCATTTCCAAAGATCAGGACGTACTTAACAATATCATTTTTCTTTTGCAGTGATGATGTAAGGCATATTTCACTTTCGATTCCCCTCTTCGCGTTATCTACTCCTAAATCCTTAATCTAATAAAAAGTTTATTTCATTAAATGTTTTAAAGCATACACTAGCAATTAAATACATATATATATATGTACATAAACATAGTTTTGAAAGTCTCGAATTTTAATGATCGTAATTTATATCCTACTTGTTAACAATGTCATGATCACTTGAATTCAGTTCTCCATATTGTATTTTATTTGCTTCAACAGTCCTATATGTATTGTTTAGTTCATTAAGGATTTAAGGTCACACATGTTTTGAAGCTAAAATGAAATTTCTGCGTTTATTAGTTTCTTTGAAACATAGATCATAGAATAAGTTTTATAAATGTTATTCTTCAGCTCTAGCTGTTGGTAGAACTTTTGTACCCTGGGTGCAGGATCCGGTCATGATGATTCTCCAAAAGCTTCCCGAGATATCACCTTCTTTTGGTATATACATCTGGTTCTCATATACATGTATTACATGTCCTCGTAATAAAAGCGTGATAATATGGTTTTGTCCCCTTAAGTCAAAAACAATAATATCAATTATTTAGTTATTTAGGATTTGACTTTTTATTTATCAAGAAAGAGATAGAGATAGAGAGAGAGAGAGCTAGCTTGTGCCGCCCATCGGTCATCTAATCAAATAGTTATACCGATTTATTTTCTTAGCATTTAATTATTTCGTCCGACTAGACAGACACACCCAAGTTATTGAATAAACCCAACTACGGTTAAATTAACCTAACTCGATTAGTACCGTTTCATATATTTGTTAAATTTGAGTTTCGAAGCCGAGAAGCCGATACTATATGAAAAGTGAAAACCACAGTTGCGTTATATATTTGTACGTCATAT